AGAGGTGGTAGTGGCAGACACTGCCCGGCTCCAGGCTTGCCCACTGGGGCTGCACTGCGGCGGCAGCAGCTGTGGCCTCCCCCACCAGTTTGCCATGCCGGGCAGTGTTTTCCACCACCACCTCTGGGCTGCCCAGCGCATGAGCTCCAGGTGGGTGCGGCAATCGGGGCAGGGGGGCCACAGCTGCTGCCGCTGTGGCACAGCCCTGACGGGTAAGCCCAGAGCCGGTGTGGGGCCCAGGCTGGCAGCAGGGGCAGGTTACAAGATGGTGCTGAGCGCGAGGCGGTGGGGGAGGAAGGGGAAGCAGCTGCTCCTCCGCCCCATGGCCAGCACCCTGTGCTGCAGCCACTCACAGCCTGCATGGGCTGCGAGTGGCTGCAGCAGGGAGAACCAGCCACGGGGCAGGCGAGGGGCTGTTTTTCGCCGGGCTCAGCTTTTCCCCGGGCTCCTTCCCTACCCGAGGTCCCCCCCACCCATACCTGAGTTTCTGGTATGGTGCACTCACATGGTCCCAGGCCAGGAGCCCCCGCTGGGGCTTGTGGCTGGGGGGCAGGGCCAGGCAGGCCCTGCTGTTGTGGGAGTCCTCTGAGCTTCCCATGGATCCTACTACCCTGGTTCCTGTCATTTTTGACAGGAACCAAGGACAGATCAATATTAATTTTCTAAAATTTTTAGGGGCCCCGTAGGCTGGATAGAATGGCCTTGCAGGCCAGATCTGGCCTGTGGGCCATATTTTGCCCACCCCTGACTTACCAGTTTGAAGTCAGCTGCAGCTCCCTGCTGCAGCCACCAGGGACTGTCTGAACCATCAAAGCTGTCCGAATCTTTTCTGAAGATTCGGAGAGCTTTGAATCGATTCGGACTTTTAAATTGGTCCCCTGATTCAATTTGGATTTGGAGATTCAGCCACCAAATCAAGCTGAGTCTCCTCCTAATCGAATCACCACCCAAAGCTTTGCAAAGCCCAATAAATATATAACAGGAGTTCTTTCCAGGTGACATCTTAAAAGAATATATTTGGTTGCCAAAAAACAATACATTTGAAATAAATCAATTCATTTTCAAGGTTCATATGTTGTGAGGAAATAGGCATTTCTTCGTATTTGCTATGAAATAAGATTTAATTTTTCTAGAGTTACTAAGGTCTTTAAGGGCACATCTACACATGTATATTAATTTGATACAATAAACTCCGACACACATTGGGCCAAAGTTTATTGTTCCTGGGCACCGTGTTTATGTGTGTGCCCAGGACTGCAGCATATTGAGCTGGGTTGGAGTAGCCCTGGCTGGCAGGGTACTCGGGGGGCCAGCCTGCCAGCCTGGGGCTGCTCCAACTCAGCTCACTGTGCTGCAGAAGGGCTGGCTGGGACACGAAGGTGCTCCAGTGTGGGGCTAGCCAGCAGGCAGCCTCCACACTGAAGCACTCTCATGCCCCAGCCACATCAGCATCTACACGTGTTGTGCTGTGGAGTAAAACATTCTGCATTTACAAGTACTACCCTGCTGTGGAGTTTATTCCAGCCTAATAGCCCTACACGTGTAGATGCCAAGATGTTTACTGTGGAGCTAATTAATCTATTCCTCAGGAAATGTCTCACGGAAATGTGCCCGAGATTGCTCATTTAGGTCCCTTTACCGTGTCTCAATTTGGACATCCAAAACCATTAATTACAGTTAAAGCTTTAGCCCAATTTTTATAGAGAGTTTTGGGGTAACATCATAGATAAATACATTATTGCCACTTAGCAACCTTATCTGTTTTTTTAAAGGAATATCTTCTGTTCTTGGAATTCAAGTGCAGATGTTGGATTAGTAAAGCAGTTGTTAGAAAAATCTTAGCTCATCTTATTCTTTTGTAAGGATATCCTGATCTCTCTTTATTCTAAATGCAAAATGTAAGTAAGTGTGGGTAGGAGATTAATTTACCTTATATAAGCAACATTACACAACATCATCTATTGTGAAGAGGAGAATCATTGTATATAGCATCTTGGTGAGAAAAAGTATGATAGAAGTTTCTGAAACGTGAACACAATGGATATGAAACAATTAATTTAGAGATGTAGAAAGAAAGAACTGGGAAGGGACTTCCTGGCTTAGTGAGCTCAGTCCTCTGCTATCACAGAGACCATGCCATGTAATCCTGTTCATAACCTATCAATCTGATTATTTAATAATAGTAATAATAATAATAGAAAGAAAAAGTAGAAACAGTTTCCAGGCTTTAGATCATCTAGTTCCAGGAATTGTACAGGGTTTAGGAAATGTTAAGTCCCTTTCAATTTCTAAGTGTTATTACTCAGTTTCTTCTGGAGCAGTTCTTGTTTCCACACACAGGTTTAGAAAGCTACCTTACACTTACGAAGGGCTAAGAGTGTTCACACATGGAACTCTGCCAGCCTGCAAGGGAAAAGCCACAGTTTCCCACATTTGTCTCCTTTAAAGGAGAATCCATTTTTAAAGCTTGTTGATTCATTTTTTTAATTTAAAGTTTGCAACCCATTCATATATTCTTGAGACCCACTTTTGGGTCACGACCTACGGGTTGAGAAATGCCGCCTTAGACTGACTTGTTCAGAGGTGCATGAGCTTTCATAGGCTACAGCAGATTTTGTCAGAGGTTATGAATGGACTTGCAGAGTGCAGTGGTACTAAACAGAAAAGAATAAAGTGCCTCTCCACCCCTGCTTCCCTATCCTTTTTAATTTCTTTATTCTTTTCTATTTGGTACCCCTGCTCTCTTCAACTCCACTCATAGGATCCAGCAAAATAGCCTAAAGAAGCTCATGTCTCTCAGAAGGAGTTAGTTTAAGGTGCCACCCCTCCCCTGCCTTTTGCTTAACATCAGATTAATATGACTTACTAGTGGTACCTTGTCAGTTGTACAAGTAGCTGCATTGGTTTTGATGGGATTTTATCATAGTTTCTTATATGCAGAATCATGCTCCTATGTGCGGTTTTTGAAGACCAGAAAGTACCTTTTTAAAATGTATATCCCAAGAACCTCAGTAGGGTGAAAACTGCAGCCTAAAAGGAGGATTTGAATATAAAAGAAATGAGAATATAAATATAAATTAATACAAAAGAATGGAGAGTGAGAATAAGTCTTGATGCTGGGCTATTATCACAGGTGGAAAACCAGAGGAAGTAAGAGCACAGACATGCTTCACTTCTGATAATTCCAACAATGGGAAAGAAGATTGCAAAGGTATGTGCCTGCCATGCAAGAAAATGTTAAAAAAATCAGTACAATACTGGATACAAGGACACTGTGTGCATATGAAACAGGAGAATTATGATCACTGAATGTGAAAGGCCCAAACAGTCTGCAGGACTAATAAGAACTCAAAATTAAATCTTGAGGTATGCTGCCAGGCGGGGAATCACCATGCAATCATGCACTCTTGAAAGTGCAGCTGCATAAATGTGAGTCCCCACCTAGAACCGTGTAAACAAGTCTAAATGTGAATATTAAGCACATTGTTAAAACGTTTATACTGGATGTTTCAGTGGACGGTGAATTCAGTAAGACAGCAGCTGTAGGGGCCATTATTTGGCTATTCACATATAGCAGCATTAATACTATTATGAAATACTAGCGAATTGCCCATCAAGAATGGAGGGGGGGGGGCAGGCAGGAAGGAGCCGCCTCCCAGGAGCAGGGGGGGAAGCTTGCCCCGCCAGCCCCCCCCTGCCCGTTTCTACAGGGGTGTGCATGTGATCCACGGGTGTGACTGTCTCCACACGCGTTTCTTGTGCAGGGGATCTATATGCGAGTCCCCACATGTCTGCCCACGGGATCCCTAGGCGTGGCTGCACTGACTCTGCTCCCAAAACGGACGGGCCGACAGCCCAGGGAGACCGGCCGATGGGTTATCCCCATTTCACAGCTCAGCAAAGCAGCCCTGTCACCCGCCGGGCGCGGAGCCTGGGCTGCGGCCCGCCCCCCGCGGGCCCGCCCCCTGTCCTCAGTGCGGGGTTTGAAAGCGGGCGAGCCCATGTGACGAGCAGACGGGGGGGGACGGCGGCACTTGGGCTGTTCCTGTCGCCGCAGAGGAGGGTTCATCTGGGGATCCCGGCGGCCCGGGCGCTACCATTCGCCGCGGTCGTCCGCTCGCG